GCACTTCCACTTAATCTGCTATGGTACGGGCATTGGCTGCCCTGAAACAACATGTAAACAAATGGGGGAATGCTTGTGCTGACGTTATTTACACAATATGGCCACAATGTAATTTACGAAATATAGGCATATAGCCATATAAGGTCACCGACATAACTCCATCCTGTATTTGCTAGCATCAAGCTGTGGGCAGGAAATACCCCACCAGTAGCTGATTGGTTAGCACAGAAGGAGGTTCCTTTGCATGTTTGGGAGGGGCTTTAAGCTTTAATCACTTGTGTCCTGTAGGACCAGCAGAGGGAACAATAGAGCTCAGTGGAGGGTGCTGACATCTGACGCTCCAGAAGTGTTGAATGCAGGATATTATCTCTTCAATGCAGCACCTGGACAAGAAAGGCCTCATGCAGTAAACACAGGAAAAGTTATATGGGAAATATAAACTTTTATGCTACCCAGTTCACTTGTATTAAGTTGTTCCTGGGTTGAGATGCGTTTAGTTGCATTTACATGTCTTTACATGTGTTTAGATGTATAAAACCAGGTTAAATGGTCCCATGACGGAGAAAATTCTTGTTTGTGTAAACGCAGCTTGACTGAATGCACCTACACACTGCTAAACGTCTTAAGTTTATATTCAGCTATAGCAAAGCAATACATGCGTTCAGGTGCGTTTGACAATGAGTTCTAAATGCACTTGAAAGCATGTATTTTATTTCCTGTGTTCATGGGGCCTTAGTAAGAATTGTTTGCTTTGCAGGGATCTTCTGGTTTCAAATGTAAAAATAGCTATATAGTCACGTTAGCAGGCAGTGCTGTTCATGTTACTTTTATATTACAATTTAACACCACTTTTTCTGCACATATATATATATTTATGCGTAGAATGAAGTTTCCCTTTTAGGTAGAGGAGGGGAGAAAGAGTAAACGCTGTGTCAAATAGTATCATTAAATGTTATCAGCAGATGGTATTGAGCCTGTACTGCACTGGACTTTCACCTCCTCCAGTGATTGTGGGTATAATAAAGACATCCAGAAACAGGAAGATCTTTTTTTTGCTTTGACAGAATTTTTCGGTTTTCGACATCCATGCCAATTATTGGAGACAATGCCTATCGAGTCCTGCTGTGAACACCGTATTTAAAATGGACAGAAAGTAAACAATCGAAAGCGGAAATATTTTAACACGCTGAAAATGTATGTTAATAAACCGTCTGTCCTTGTCAGTTGTGCTTGTTTTTGGCAATTGGTTGCTTTTACTTCTTTCCTCACTATTCCGGCTTCAACCTGAAATACTCATAACCAGGGGAGGATTTATTTTGTGATGGTAGTCTCCTTTTGAGAAAGTTCCATTTTGACAAATTTCTCTATACTTCCTTCTTCCAAAGAAACAACCAGAAAGGTAAGAACTATTTTAAAAGTATATTTATAGGTATGCTGTGTGAATGGGGATACATAAGTAGGTTTAAAAAACATGGGTTTTAAAATGCAAGACTTTAACCCTTTCACTGCCCCCTAAATATCTCATACGTCGCTGGCAGCGAGCCCCTTTAACTTCACACTGGAAGCGATTGCGGCGGCTGAGCTGCCGCCAAATCGCTTGCAGGGGCCGGTGCAGTGTGTGCCCCACCTTGTTTCCCGGGCTCTGCTGCCCCTCCTGCAGGTCCATGGACCAGCGTGTCGGTGGGAAGCGGGGAAGGAGACTAGCGGGAATCCATTCACCAATCTCCTCCCAGCTCTATGGGACTGGAAGCAACGCTGATTGCATCACTTTGGGTCCCTTAGCTGTCATTGCTCGGCTGCAGAAGCAATCTGTGCTCCTTTAGCTTGTATTGAGTGCAAAGGTGATAGTAAGGGTGACCTTAAAGAGAACCTGTCACCACTAGTATGCTATCACATAGGGGGCTTGTAAGCTCCCTTATGTAATAGCAATTAAGTTAAGTAAAAAATAAGTTTAAAAAAAAAAGATTAAATAAAATAAATGTAAAAATAAACTTTTTAAAGGCCCCCCGCAAGTGCGCCTATTAATGTCGGGTGCACCTTCATGTGAAAACGACGATCGCACTACACATGTTAGGTATGGCCGTGTGCACCAGAGTCGGAGCAATAATTCTAGGGCCAGTAGTCACGGTTACCTCTAAAGTGATGACCTGTGTGGGCTTTCAAAGCGTTGTCTATGGACAATTTGGGGTACCATATTTTGTCGCTGTTTTGCGGACACGTGCAATTTTTAACCTGGGCATGCTGGTTTTAATAACAAAGTTATTATATTGTGTTTTTGGCCACTAAAATTAACTTAAGTGCTTTTTAAAAAAAATAAAAATGCGGTTTGATGAAGAGTTGCACTATTATTGTGCAATATAAAAATTTGCAGCTGCCATAATTTTATTCTACAGGGTCTTTGCTTTCAGAAAATATATCATGTTTGAGTGTTTTAAATAATTTTCAGGCCTAAAATAGGGATTATAACATGTGCAAAAAAAAGGCCTTGGCAGTGAAAGGGTTCAAGTGGATTTCTACTTTCACAGAAACATTTGTGAAAACTCCTCTTATGTGTTTCTATTAACACAACATACCTAAAAATAAATGTTTATAAATATTTCTTACCTTTTAGATATGTCTGTGTAGCAGGCCTTTGGAGCTTCTCTATGCAATTTCCAAGTGACAGGAAACTCTGCCTGTCCCAATAAAAAAAATTGGTACACTCAGAGCTTCCTCTCATTAACAAACAATGCTTCTAGATCTTTAACCCTTTGTTAGGACAAGTGTATTTCCACTTTCAGAGGCAGATTTGAGAAAACCCCTCACTATATGATTGTTATATGTTCCTATTCATACAGCATACATAAACATATGTTTTAAAAAAAAAAAAATTTGTACTTGTTGGATATCTCTGTTTTGCTGGGCTTTGCAAGCTTCTGTTTCAATTTCAGTAACAGGTGTCTCCTCATTAACAAACCATTAAAGAAGCCAAGCTTTTTTTAAAGAAGATGTTTGGGCACAATTTTTATTAACCCTTGCAGTGGGGCTACTGCTCATTTTTGTCTATGGACTAAAATAAAAAAAGTTATACTCACCCGAACCTCTGAGCCAGCTTGTTTTTAGAAAGGTCCCTCCAGCCTCTCTACACTGTGTATTGGACATGAGGACGCTGAGGGACATTCCATTTCTGCAGAATAGGAGGCGGCAGGCAGGAGGGAGCTCTCTCACAGCTGGCTGGCTGACTCTGAGGTTGAGGCGAGTATAACTTTTTTTTATTGTAAATTCTAGATGAAAACTAGCAGCTAGCCCTTGCAGTGCAGGGTAGCCCCACTGTAAGGTTGATATAAATCCTTTATTTGGACAGACAGTGTTCAAATCTAGTTTACAACTTATAATGAGATCAGTCAGCATAGTACACACAGGGTTAATTATTGTAAACATTGCCCTCCCCACCCCCTTTGGATGCCAGAGGAAAAGTCAGTACAGAGAAAAAGTTTTCTTTGAGAATTGAGTAAGGTTTATTTTTAATTTTTTTTTTTAAGTTATGCTATGTGCACGAGAAATATATAACAAATATAAAATAGGTGTTATCCCAATTTGGCTGCAATAGTGGAAATACACTTTAAAATCTGATAATGAGTTCTGTCAGCACAGATCAGAAACTTGAAGGTGGCGGTTGGAAACGTTTTGGGTGATGAGTGATGGAAGCCATTCGGCTGCGGTCACTGTTCTGGTATTCTGACAGTGACACACCCGCTGCTGCCACATGACAATAGGCCAGTTGTCCATCAATGCCGTTTAACATGGATGGAGGAATCTGTTATATTTTTTTCATCCATCCCACAGGTTGAATGAAAAAATATAACAGGGTATGGCTATCTTTACTCCTCATCCTCCTTGTACTCCAGAGGAAAATTAACAAAGAACAAATATAAAAGTTGTATTACTCCAATTTGGCTGCAAAAGTGGAAATGCATTTTAAGGTGGTACATTCTGGTCTTAGTACTGCTTCTGTAAAACAAACCAGTTCCTCTGCTTCCTAGTCTCCTGACCACTTCAAGCACTACCTGGTGTTGGGCAGGTTAACCCTTCATATTTCATGCTTTGTTTTAAAACATAGTCCTGCATAGATTAGTTTTGTTTACATTGTAAGCAAAATCATCAAAAAAACAATAAGGATGAGTATGTCTGTGAAGGTTCTCATTCATCCAGGTCATGGTATATCTTTTCTCAATTCAGAATGACTTGTGCAAAAAATGATCTAGGAATACAAATGGTGAATGTTGCTCCAATCCACATAATCTGTTAGTCACAACCAGGTGTTGATGATATTTGCATAATTGGAGCTGGGAGGTGTTATTAACCTGCCCAGAGACAGGTTTTAAAGCAGCATTTTATGTGGCAGACAATATATGTCTCACCCCTTCACCTCTATACAAGCTTGGCTTCTCCATTTTTACATAAACCTACATCTAAAGGAAAAAGGTCACTCCTTTTTAAAGAAAGTCAAGTATGCATCCTAGACAGGGAGGAGGACTGGTTTAAAGAGGTGTGAAAGAGGCCATTTATGTAAAAATTGAGAAAAAAATCCCTTCATCCACACTATATAGTGTGATTTTTCTCTTGTTTAGTGTGTGTTGCTAGCTTTACTGTAACCTTTTTTTACTGGTACCTGCCAAAAGATTTGTAGTTGTCTGCAGCCAGTGTTGTGTATATGGGCATTGGCTTGAACTGCTTCTTTTCTCATGCCGGTCAGCTTAGAAGCCAGAAATAAGTCTGGCAGAAACGCCTCCAAAGAAGCTCAGAAACCTCTTAAAGTGATCTTGAATGCACTTAAAATCACGCTGCTGTTTCCTAGCTACACAAGCCCCAAGACACACGAGTACAGGGAACATGGAAATGCATTATTTGATTCATCAGGATCTTTTCTGGGTTCATATTAAAGTCCATTCTGCAAAGCTTTGTAAGCTAGTTTAGTTGATAATTATCAGTTCACAGTTTGACGTTACAACGTGTAAGGCATTGCTTCATAAAATCTCACACAGGATTAATGCAGTTCCTCATCAAGAGCTGGTGAGCATGTGACATACATATCTTAAGCTATTGTCTTGTTTTTAGAAAACAGCAAAAGTATTTTTAGTTATGTAAAACAACTTGGTCTTCCTGGTTCTCTTTTTTTCATTGCAGTTTAGTCCGTTGATACAACCTTTATCTAGAAAACCATCACAAGGGTAAAGTGAAGTGTCTAGAGGCGGGCCAGCAGCATGTGATCTATGAGAAAATTATTTTGTTTTCCACAAGTTATGGAGAGTCACAGAGGGAAGTGCGAAGAATTGTTCTGACTGACACACAGCCGTACAGTGTGAGTATTGTAGTCCACATGCATAGACAATATTGTATCTCTTGTTTCACAGCGATTGGAGCTACTGAATTACATTAGGGATCTTGTAACCTCCTTAATAGATTTTTTTTTAACATACTTTATCTTTGTGGTTGAGATACAAAGCATAAAGTACATATGTTTATATGTTTTTTTGAAAGCTGAATATTACAATGTGAATTGCAGCATTGTATGTGTGTTGCATGCATTCATGTGTGATTATGCATAAGATTTAAAGGAGAGTTATGGGGAGAGTGAAATGCACTCATCCCTGTAGTTAAAGCCGATGTGTGACACTGCAGCTGTCACACATCGACTCTATAGATCGAGAGCTGAGCGATCACAAACCGCTGACCACTCATGATCTTCTCCCTAGAGACAGTGGAGACTGTAATTCATCACTCCCCCTAGGGATTCCCCCTCATCTCTCTGTCCTTCTAGAGCTGAGTCGAGGGGCAGACAGGGCAGGGGGCGGGCGCAGATGGCTCTGGCTCTAGAGAGACAGAACCAACTGTCAATCAGGCAGCGGGGTGGATCTTGACAATATTGTCGGGATCCTTTCTGGCTGCAGTGTGGCTCTGCACTGTCAGCATATATGCTGAGTTTTTTGTCACAGAAGGACATTGGTAAATGTGAATTGCAGCATTGCAATTTACATTTACCAATTTGGGCTGAATTGAAAATCATAATAAAGTTGTACTGTCCTTCCTGCAGTTATATAGTGATACATGTTGCTGAGTTTACATGGAAGACATAAAGAAAGACAGTTCTGACGTGTGGAGGTGCCGTGGCATATTAGAATAACATTGGATTTATTGGAAACTGATTTATTAAAGTGAAACTGAACTCAAAAAGTGAAGATTAGCTATGTTATAGAGAAAATGTTAGAAATGTGCCTAAACAGTACACTGAAAAGATGACCTTTTTCAAGATAAAAAGAAACCCCCTTCCAGGCTTTTGGATTAGTAGCCACCATCCCACCAATCTGTAATTGTATTGTATAGATCACAAACACATTAAAGGAGAACTATGACTTAAGGGCAAATAAAAATACCCCTTACCTTGATTGTAGTAGCATCGTTCTTTTTTTCTAAATTCGCAGCACATCACAGATAAAAGCCTCAAAACCTGTAGTAAATGGCCGTCTTCACCCATGCTCCAAGCTCCTTTCCTCTTAGGGGGCGTTAACATTTGATCCAGCCCGCCCACTGCTTTTTTTTCAAATGATCTCATTGCTGTGGCCGCGCTTCCTCTCATCGTGCACAGCTGTGTTTTGTCAGCTCGTGCACGCAGGCTCCTTCCTCTCTCTCTCTCCCTGCCCTGTGTGACGCTGACATCCTCAATTCACTGGGGATCGCTGATGAGAGAGGGGAAGGAGCCCTCTCTCTCTCTTCAGCATTTACTACAAATGGGAAAGTCCATATATGGTAAATGGTGTCACTGGGGATCTCTGCAGACTGGCAAGCATCCGATCTGCAGGGATCTCCAGTGACATAATTTACCATATACAGGTGAAACTCGAATAATTAGAATATCGTGCAAAGTTCATTTATTTCACTAATGCAACTTAAAAGGTGAAACTAATATATGAGATCGACTCATTACATGCAAAGCAAGATAGTTCAAGCCGTGATTTGTCATAATTGTGATGATTATGGCTTACAGCTCATGAAAACCCCAAGAACCCCAAATCCACAACCTCAAAAAAGTAGATTATTACATGCAATCAATAAAACAAGGATTGTACATAGAACAATATCGGACCTCTGAAAAGTACAAGCATGCATATGTACTCAGTACTTGGTTTGGGCCCCTTTTGCAGCACTTACTGCAATTACTTTTGCACCATATTCTAATTATTCGAGTTTCACCTGTATATGCTGCTTCTCATTTGTAGTAAATGCTGAAGAGAGAGAGAGGGCTCCTTCCCCTCTGTCATCAGCGATCCACGATCATTTTAGTATGCCAGTGTCAGCAGGGAGAGAGAGAGGGGGGAAGGAGCCCTCTCTCTCTCTCTTCAGCATTTACTACTAATGGGAAAGTCCATATATGGTAAATTATGTCACTGGAGATCCCTGCTGATCGGATCCGATCGGCAGGGATCTCCAGTGACATCATTTACCATATATGGACTTTCCCATTTGTAGTAAATGCTGAAGAGAGAGAGCTCCTTCCCCTCTCTCATCAGCGATCCACGATCATTTTAGTATGTCAGTGTCAGCAGGGAGAGAGAGGGGGGAAGGAGCTAGCACACGGGGACGTGCAGGTAAGGAGAGAGCTGCTGCGCATGTCCATATAGCTCTCAAGAATCACTGTCAGTCATCAGTGGGAAGGATCCCGTCAGATACGTCGGGATATCTTCTCATTGCGGTGCTTAGCCCCGCCCACCACCTTAAATAAGGGTTTACAGCCTTACTGTGCATTTTGGCTAATTAGAGTAAATTACATTATTTACTTATTTAGCCTAAGGAATGCATTAATAAAAAAAAGATAGAACCCCATAGTTCTCCTTTTAAATCATCTGTAGGTATGTTTTAAAATGGAAAAATAACTAGATAATTATATTCTCCATGGCTGGGTACCTGTGACACGGATGCCTATCTCTTCTAAACAAAGGCGGGGTCTGCCTCTTCCATGGCTGAAGTTGGGCATATCATTTGTTTCAAGGCTGTGTAGACATAGGTGTAGGTAACCTCATCTCCTTCCTTTCACATTTGTTGAAATGAAACCGAAGAGAGACAGATTAGACGCCAAAAATAGGAAAGAATAGTTCCTATTGCAGAGCCGACGTGATGCAGAAGTAAAGAATGCAGTTCAATTGCTGGAGACCTGGAGCAACAGAAGGCTACTTTATCACAAAATATTTTGTTCTTGGCATTCCATGCTATTGCATTAGTAATTTATGTATAACTTTCATTTACACTGGATTTATTAGAAATTGACCAGCAACACTGGCATCTTAAATAATCATTTACGCACACCTAGTGCAATGTGTAATTATTACTAAAAAGCTGTATATTATGTGTGCCGCTGCAAAGTATAAAAATCTTACCTTGCAGCATGCTGGCTCCTACACATAATGTAATGCTTTTCTTCAGGGCACTGCAGGGCATGAGGGCTGCGACTCAAGATAGCAGATCGCTCGCAAAAGATAACTGGGAAGGCTCATAATATTGTTTTACATTTTAATTACGTTCAAGGGGACCTTTACCCCCTTTCACTAAAAATCACATCAGCATTTAGCTCTGCATGCTGATATAAAAATAATCTTACATAGTTAAATAAACATATTTTTCTTTTACTTACAATTATTGTTTTTCCACTTCTTGGTCCTCTTAGGCATTAGTGATGTAGCCCATGCCTGAGTGTTGCATCCTGGGATGGTTACATCAGCAGAGCATTACTGGGAAATCTCATCTGTAATCTCATGAGATCTCAGGGAAAGGCATTGTTTCCCCCTGAGATGATCTGCATGGTCACATGACCTAGTCACATGTGCCAGAGTTCCAAGAAGTAAAGGGAGCTGGTTTAATCTGCCCTTAGTAAAAATAAGCACCGTGAGAAGAATGCGGAAAAAAATAACAAGCAAAGAATAAAAAGCTGCAAATATCTAGAAGTATGTGTTTGTAGATTGTCATTACTAAACATTTCTAAAGGTGTCTCTGTTGTCATTTTGAAGATAAGGGTAAAGTTCCTCTTTAAGATTGGTTAAGGAGGATTTAAGATATCTGGCAGGATTGACAGGTATTTTTCTGTACTTGCAGAAAACGTGCTTGAAAAAAAAGATGCAGCCAAGGCATTTAATAAGTAGTATTATATGTTTGTTCTAATGTTTAGATATACTTTTAAAGGAGAATTATGAGGTGAGTGATTTTCACTCAGCCTCATAATCTGAGCCGATCTGTGACAATGAAACTGTCACAGGTCGGCTCAGTAGATCGGGAATTGCGCGAACACATACCGTCGCTCGCTAACTTCTCATTCTATCCCTGCAGAGTGCCGTGACTGTCACTCAGGGCTCCCTGCAGGGATTCCCCCCTCCCCGCTCCGATCCTCCAGCGCTGACTGGCGGAACGGACGGGGGAGTGGGCGGGCACAGCTGGCTCTGCCTCTGGATAGGCAGAGCCAGCTGTCAATCCCGCAGCTGGGTGGATCTCGACAGCAATGTCGGGATATGTCCCGGCTGCGGCGTCTCAGTATACCGCGAGCTACAGCTGAGCTATACTGAGCTTTGGGTGATGGGAGTACGCTAGTTTGTGTTCTCCCCCCGTGACCCTTAGGAGAACTATGGGGAAAAGCCCTGACCCCATAGTTCTCCTTTAAGCAATATTATCTTAAAGCGACACAAAACTCAAACATTTTATTGCCTTTCAGTGCTCTCCTTATAGTCCTTAACCTAATCCTGCTTTCCTTTCAAAATGTACCTTTTTTTTTTCTTTCAAAAAAGTGCTGGGCGCGCGGCCACCGCTCCTCTGTGATTTCCGGCTTCTACCTTTCAAAAGTGCATGAGAGTTCTCTGAGAGCGCAGTGCTTTCCTACACTACATATCCCAGAAGGCACAGCGTGTAGTGTTCTCACTGCGCATGTGTCCATTCAGACACCATTCCTCCCCGTTCCCTCCTCCTTACTCACTCTCTGCTCTGCTCTGGGGCTCACAGGTGCGCCTTCCAGGGAGTGAACAGAATGCAAATGGGAGGGATTTGAGGGAGGAGAGAGGAGGAGTCAGCAGAGGAGACGTGAGAACACTTGAAGCCTCCCGACGTCTCATTGTAGTGCTCAGCAGAAGCAAACACAGAGGTTGGCTACTTTTCAGCTCCCATAGGGCCATGGATAAGAAAAGTAGCCACCCTCTGGCAGGAAGTTATGAAACCTGACAAATAAATAGTTTTTAGCAGCATTTAATATGACGCAATTAAAAACTAAACTAGCTCATTATAAAATGATTATATTGTAGATCTTAATTGTATTATTTAATTTATTGGTTTAGTGTCGCTTTATCCATAAATGTTAACGCTAGTTGTTTTTTTTGGAGGGTTATGCATGAAGTAGGCAAAAGAAAACATTTATTGTATGTGACCTAATTGGGAATATTTCCCCTTTCTTCCTGTTCCTGTGACACCCATAAAAGAAATGGAGGTGGGTGTCACCTGGAAAGATGGCACAGACAGCAATAAAAATATTTTCAGCCTTCCCCACTCCAGCAAAAATATGTTTTTATTTTCAAGAGTGTTCCTATTCGAAAGATGTCCCATCACTTCCTATTCTGACCTCAGGTGCAGGGCAAATCTCCACAATAAGGACACAGACAGCAATAAAAATCTAACAAGGGCTTTCACCCTTCTCCTCTTTATCCAGAAACAAAATAAAACAATTTGGCTGGAGTTGGGCTTTATTCAAACAGCTTATGTTATGATCTAGACTCTCTGCATTGCAGATTTTTTATTGCTATTGCACATTATCGGTCATACAGATGCTCCTCGCTTAACGACTTACCTGTTTTGCGACCACTTTCTCCAGAGTGACTTGGTTGTCTTGTGACTGCTGTACCTTCACCTGGGTGTGTGCACATAATATCACTATTGTCACTCTTTACACCTAATATTCTATTCAGGATGTAAAATGAAATTAAGATGAATAACATAATTACAATTGAATTTCTGGAAAGGAAAAATCATTTGAAAAAATGTATGATGTGTCATGCATTGTGTTTGACTAATTATATGTTTTTTTAAGAGCTTTTGCACAGTGTTGCATGTGTCTGTATAACATACATTTCTGTATATTTCCACCACCAGTGCACCACAGGTGCTGCATACATTCTCCCATAGAAATCAATGGCTGCGCAGATATACGCCACAGTTGTGTAAACATGTATATACGAACAAAGAAGAAAAATGGGACCTTTAAAGTGTCCAAACCATACAAAATGTCCATCAGACACATGTAATCTTGTATTAAAAAGTACATTTTCTTATTGCATTAAAATCAACATGATTTTGAGACTTGGTTACATTCAGAACGTCATCAGCAAGATACAGTAGCACATTAGAACCACACTACCTCCTTATGGTACCCACGTATGTGTATACATTATACTCATATATCATAAACTTGTTTGTCCTAATCCATATATTTGTTGTGTAATCCGCTCTGGGCCCAATCTTTGACGCGTTTTGCAACTGCATGTGCTTCATCTGGAAGGTTGGGGGTGACTAAAATATTGTATCGGAGATGAATCTAAATATAATAAACTCCACGACCAATGTCGTAATGATAGTTAAAAATAATCACAATTCAAAACCTACTTCATGCTCACAGAAGTGACTTGATCCTTACTCTCAAGGGCGATTTTGGAATTTACCAAGCAGGTGAAAAGGTGTGAGGTATCCGGGGATAACAGGACTGAAAAATGAAAAAAGTTTTTTTAAAAGATTCAAAATGTTCAGAAAATTCAATGTGGATTTCCACAGGGATATACACTGAGTGGCCAGATTATTATGACCACCCCATCAGTACTTCATTGGGCCACGAGATGACTCCACGAGATGACTTCGTTGGGCCGCCTCGTGACTCCACGAGATGTTGAAAGGTGATGCGAGGAATCTGACACTGCACTGTTGCCCTTCTGTTGTTTTGTACCAGTCTTGCCACTCTCAGTTCTGCCCTAACATTGACTAGTCGCTGACGGCCACAATTCGCACTTTCAGACCCAGATTTTCGGCTGACAGTCCAGTCTTTAAACACTTTAACAACAGCTGCTCTTGAACATTTCACGAATTCTGCTGTTTTGCTAATACTCGCTCCATGGCTCCGAGCGCCAACAATTATCCCACGCTCAAAGGCTGTTAAATCGCGTTGTTTACCCATATCTTCAGAAAAAATCACTTCTACTGTCGTAAACAACCTGCTTCCCTATTTATAATGGTCTGGTCCTCTATCAACTTCAGCGCAAAATTTTAGCTAATTTGCCTACAAACGTCAGGTGGTCAGAATAAACTGGCCACTCAGAGTACAATATACCTGTTGTTAGAAGCTACTGTTTATACGTATATACTGATCATAGAGATAGAAATTAGATCCTACAAAATTAATGCAAGACATAACCAATATTCAATAATGGCTTCAGGTAATTATACTCGGAGCCTGAGGCGCACCTCCCAAAACGGTTGCTCCACACCAAAATTAGTTACTATGACTTCAAAAATATCCTAGTTAGGGGTCCTTGTACTAATCAGTTATCAGTAATCAAAAAACAAGTCAAAATTGCTGAAACTAACCAGATGACCAGACCTTGAATACATTAATATCTAAACTTCACATGATTTGCTTCTGTCACTTTCCTCTTAGATATGAGCCAAACCTCAGGTAATATGCCTTGGAGAGCGACCTAAGGGTTATCATTGTTGTAAGATACTCAGCTGAGAACATCTATTAAAAACACAATTCAGTGTCCAACACCCTGTTTCTACCCTAGATTTGTTTTGCTGCCTGTACCTTGGTGGAAAGTCTCCCCCCATCCTGTCCCAGGAACAGAGGGATCAGAAGAACAGGAAGTGGTATGAGATCTCTCCAATGGGGGCAGAGACAGTAGCAACAAACCTGTGGTCAGGGTAATAAATAGCAGGAGAGGAACCTTTGCAATAGACATACAGATAGCAAAAACAAACCTCACAAAATCGCTTAGCCTTCCTCTACCCATTTTAATATTTAAACCACATGGCTGGAGATGGGCTTTAAAATCTCTAGACTAGTTAATGTGCTGGAAAGTTATTTGATTGCATAAAATACTGGTGCATGTAATATAAATGATTGTGTGTTTTATTTTTAGAGATGCAGATCCTTTTAAGTGATGATAGAAGAGAGAAGTTGTCATTCCCCTAACGATGAACCTGCAGACAGGTGACACCGACCTCCCCCAGAACAACGTTTTGGGTTCTCGCAACTCTGTGTATGACGCCCGTTCCATTACCAGTGCTGAGTTCGTGGCCAGGCTTGAATCGTATGAGAGCTCAGGGAAGAAAAGTATATCCGATGTCAGAAGAACCTTCTGCCTCTTTGCCACCTTTGATGTCTTGTTTGTCACTTTACTGTGGATCATAGAACTAAATGTGAGTTACTGTCCTGTTTCAGTTTAAATCAGCTAAATACATTCTGGGTGTATGAAAACAAAAGGTGTGCATTTGTTTTCTTTAGCAGCCAAAGTCTGAGTAGAAAAGTTTGACCCCTGCCAGCATGCTGCAGAGAAGGACCCTTGCTATCAGTACGGAAGAAGGGGTCTCTCTGCAGAGGTCTGGCACACTCCCTGCTGATTCAGAGCCAGAGCTCTCCAGTTAGCAGGAAGCACCAGCTATTCTGAATGCCGAGCTCTAGATCTGACTCAGCACTGGGCATGTCAGACTACCATAGAGAAGACCCCTGCTTACACATAGAATGGAAAGGTCCATTTCTGCAGCATGCTGGCAGGGGACAGGATTTTCTACAAAGGCTGTAAGTGCTTTATAAAGAAATCCAAATGTAAGACTTTGGCAAAACACTAGGGAGAAATAAAGATTAGAGGCTGTAGCATGATGAAAACGGGAAGCCTAGCTGCAGTGCATGTCTTTAACCCCTTCATGACTGAGGCCCTTTTTTCATTTTTTGCACCCATGTTATATTCCACATTTTAGGCCTAAAAATGACTTTAAACCCCTTAGAACGATCTGGCGACAGGTAAGTCGCCAGGGTCGCTTCTGTTGTAAAGCCGACAGTCGGCTTTACAAGTTTAAACAGACTCCCGGCGGCAAAAGTCGCCGGGAGTCTGTTTAAACAGCCCCGATGCTGGCGACGTACACTGTACGTCGTCAGTCACGAAGGGGTTAAAATAGATTTATATACATAATACCAGTTTAATAAAAGATTAGGCATCTGTGTCATTTGAATGATTGTGCCAAGTTATGTAATAAATAATATTTTAAAATGCATAACAAAAGATTTCTTTTAGAAATATAATTGGTATGGTATCAATAGTACATTGTTCGCTATTTTATTTATCCTGAAATGATTTATTAAGTGTACATCATCAACGTTTCAGATGCAAACAAATAAGAAACATAAAGGAGTTTGCACAGCATTAACCATTTTATTAATAATCATTTAAATTGGAAGCTTTTCAAACAGGTTCTCTAGTTCCTGCTCACAACCAAAAGCATTCCTGCTGCATCTGGTTCCTAGCCTCCCCAGTAGATTGCTTTTGCACATCATCACACAAATGATATAACGTAGGCTTATGTAAGCATCGGTTCTGCATGCAACAGGCTTTGACGTCTTATAAATGAGGAAATCCAGAACTGTTGTATTCTAAATTCCCATACAGTCATTCTGCTGCAAAAAAATGCAGTACAACCTCCTTTTTAACTACCAAAACCTGCAGTGCAAGGGCTACCTGATAGTAAAAAAAGTCAATATCATTATAGCACTGGTGAATCTTAAGAGGAAGTAAAGTCTATTTAAAAAAGGACCCCAGGTTATATTGTGTTAGAATGCACAGCATATTAGCACATTATGGCGGTTTTACTAGCCAAAGCAATCCCCTCCCTTCCTAATGTTCACACTCCCCATACTTTGCCATTGCTCCCATGTCTTTTTCCAAATTCAGAATAGTTTTTGGGTATAGATACACTTTAATATATTTTGCTGATCTTTCACATGCCATTGTAATGATGTTTTTTAATATAAGAAAAACCTACAACTGCTAACTTGGAAAACAAATATGGACCAGAAGAGTTTTAATGCTCTAAAAATACATTCTATAAGGCGTTAGGCTGCTTGCAGGTCCGTGCACATGTGCATGCTTATTCCAATACCGGTATATACTCATAGACAGCCACATACAGTATTTGATTTCTATGGGTGGCTGTGTGCAGTACCTGTGGCTCCCAGGCAGGGAAATACACATGAATCTTACAGAATTGTATGTTGTATGGCCCCCAAGTGCCCGTGTGCATGGGCCCTAAGCAAGTTACTTAATAGCGTACTATGTTATTGTTAGAAATAGTGTATATCTTCTTGTTACAGTTTGTAAAGGTGGAGTTCCTTTGCAGATAGTTAATGCTAAGTAAAACAGATTTGTTTTCTCTCTTAGGCAAATACTAATATTATTGAGGCCTTGCAGAAAGAAGTTTTACAATATGACTACTACTTTTCATTTTTTGACATATTTGTAAGTATGTTTATGGGCTTCAGAACCCTAGTGTAAAATGTATATAATACTTTGTTAAACATACTTCTTTCCTTTTATGGAAACAATGGCAATAAAAGGTACTGTATTGTTTTTCACTGTGATACCAAAGCTTTTGCATAGTGAAACCAGCTGTGCGCAATAGATGTGAAACCATTGGGAAATCCAAGCATATAAAATATATATGTGCTGCCTGCCTAGCCCCTCTGATCACAAGTCTCTCCCCCCCCCCCCCCCCCTCATTCCCAGTACCTTACCTGGATCTGACAGTTGCAGCATTCCACACCTTCTTGCAGCTTCTTGTCACTGGCCAAAACTGCATAGTATATTCTTATAAACTGTGGGAACCTTTGCATAGCATTTCTAGCCATGACCATGGTAGTGGCTTCAGAATACGCCAGTGATCTGTACAGTCCACAAGTCAATAAAGCACCTTTAGGATGAGGTGGAAGGGATGGTTTGCTTAATTAAAGGAGAACTATGAGGTGAGTGATTTCCACTCACCCTCATAGAGTCGACGTGTGACAATGAAACTGTCTCAGGTAGGCTCTATTTATCAGGAAGTGAGCGAAGACATACCGTTGCTTGGTCACTTTCCGATCATCTCCCTGCAGAGAGCGGTGACTGTTGGTAACTGCTCCCCACAAGGATTCCCCCCTCTCCGATCCTCTAGAGCTGGGTGGAGGAACGGATGGGGAAGGGGGCGGGCACAGCTGGCTCTGTTTCTAGATAGGCAGAGCCCGCTGTCAATCAGCCAGGTGGGTGGATCTCCACAGTATTGTTGGGATCCGTCCCGACTGCGGTGCTCTCAGTATATAGTGAGCTATAGCTTATAGCTATAGAATAAGAATCAGCGTAGACCTGATGTGTAACTACTACATCAGCATTCCCACCCACAGTATAAGTCTCGGCTGCCGCACCTATCTGTGTGACACCTGCAGTGGGCATGTGGAGAGATTAGTGATGCTAGGCCTGCAATTTTATCAGGCTCAGCATTACTGAGCTACACTGAAGACAGAGAGTCTGGTATAGGCACTCGGGCCTCAGTGCTCCTTCACACTCTAACAGGTACATGACTCTGGGGCAGGCACTGACATTTGTTGTGTGGATATACCTTAGAGTTCTAAGAGTGTTGTAGACACTCGTTATGATTTCTATTAAATGCATGTTGGCACACCACTTGTAGCCTCCAATAGAAGAATGTGTGACTAGGTGACAGCGCAGAAGAACAATTGGGAGAGAAGGAAAGTATTGTAACCCTTTCATAGGAAGTGCCTGAACAAGGGCAGTCATGGCAGGCTCACCAGGTAGTATTTTATTAAAAGCTGCAGATTTAAAAATGTTGAAAATGGCTTCTGAAATGACATTAACATGTTAAAGTTTATGACATTTTAGTGATTGGGTTTACATATACTTTATCACTCTGTAAAATATCACTTTTTAATTGCCATAAACCGCTTATTTTATTAGCTCCATCTTATTTATATCATGCAAAATCTCTTTTAAATTCTTTTTTACAGTTGCTGTCATTCCTTCGATTTATTGTGCTTATTGCTGCATATGCAATATTCAGACTACGCCACTGGTGGGCAGTAGCAGTAAGTGTCTGTTTCAATGCTTCAATTGTAATATTTTAAAAAATTTAGATGTGTAAATGAACTAAAATATTATTAGTATTACACTAGACATTGTGCTGTTAAATATAAAACTTTATGCACACTGGGCTTGCAAATACTTTTATTTGTTCAAAGTATTTTGCTAAAAGATTTTACAACTTCTGATTAACACCTGCATGAGTAATCATTTTTAATTTTTTTTTTAAAGCTGTTAGGTTTTTATTTTGTACACTGTTTTTAATCAATACACTGCTTGCATTTTTTCAAATTATAACTAACAAACAAAACATGTGAAAAAAATGATTTACAACACATTTTATTGCAGCTTTTTGTACTATTTAAAAAAAAAGTATTTTGTTTTTACACACTGTAATCCTTTCTAATGCTGCATCTCCCACTCTGTGCGCAGCAAGTTCACAAAGAAAGAGGCACAGTGTAATCATCAGGCTGGAGAAGTTAGTAAACACACTTCCAGTGATTACCATGGTGGGATGTTATAGCGATCACACTACTCAGAACCATGCTGGTTGTTGTTGTGTCAAAGAACACAAGCGTATGCCTCTGGTTTACAGCTACAACATTAGTTAATGGCAGCTATTATAAAGAAAAAGTGGAATAACATTTTTAAACTTCTGCAAATTTAACCAGTTGGCTTCTGAAAATTGTAGTTTAAAGAAGTCTCACCTTGTATTATTTTTCACAGCTCAGTCACCTAATTCCAACAGTGTGTTGTGTTTTATCCCATGCTTTTTTGTGTAGTAGAAACTGAGTTACAGACTTTGACGGTTTACTCCTCTTGCTCTGCAAAGGAGCCAGACTCTTGATTGACAGATTTTATCTCACTGTCTCTGCACTTACCCTACACAAAACAGACCCCCCCCTTCCCGTTCTACTGCTTGTGCTGATTCCTGTGATAGTGTGTTCCCACCCTCTGCTTTCCTGTTTCCCCACTTGTGTCTGGAAAGTGCAGAGACGGTGAGATAAGAGCTGCCCATCAAGAGAACATCTCCTTTGCAAAGCTTGTTGGGAATGAAGAGGAGTGAACTGTCAAAGTCTGTATCTCAGTTTCCATTGCACACAGAAGTATGGGGTGAAAAGCAAATATATACTGTAGGAGTTAGGTGACTAAGCTGCAAAAAAAATAACACACAGTGAGGCTTCTTCTTTGATCTACAATTTTCGAAGCCAACTGGTTAAATTTGCAGAAGTTTAAAAATGTTTTTCCATGTTTCATTTTTTCTTTATAATAGCTGCTCAACCATAGCCACCATTACTTTCATATTGACTACCTTGTGATCAGCTATCAGAGTTTTCATTCCAGGCCAGTTTCTATTAACATTTGTGGCATGCAGGACCTATTCATTTCCACCCAAGTTTTCCCACAAAGTATGTTTAATTTTAAAGTTTAGTGAGGAGACCTTTTAAGAAAACTATTACATTAGGAGAGACATCATTTAAAGGGAAGGTGTCATCTAATATAAAGAATAAGATGTCTTTTCTGTTTTAAATCCTGTGCTAGAAAAATGGCAACTGAATCAGTTGCTTAGTTACAATGCCTCCACATTTGTAAAACATGTTGTGGGAGTATAGTCTGAGAAGTATTTGACTTGTTTGTTCTTTTTTTAGTTAACAACAGCAATAACGTGTGCCTTCCTGATAGTGAAAGTCATTTTATCTAAGGTAATCTTGAAAGCTTAATCATATAGATATTTGATTTCCCCATGCTGTATACAAAATTGTTGATAGCGACTATTTGTTTTACCAGTTATTTTACCAAGGTGCTTTTGGATATGTACTTCCTATTATGTCCTTTATCTTGGCTTGGATAGAAGCATGGTTTCTGGATTTTAAAGTTTTACCCCAAGAAGCAGAAGTGGAAAACCGTAAGTCATCACTTATTGTTGAAAGTTTGGAATATAGTACATGTACCCACAACCATGTGCCTTCAAGGACCTAAACACTCTCTGCATGAGCCCTAAAGATCGGGGGGTAAGATAAATAACAACATCACTCTAAGGTCCGATTCACACCAGTTGCATTGGAGCTGTGCTGGCCATCGTTTCCAGCACAGCACCAACACACTGACAAGACTATAGGATTAAAAATAAAATTGTCTCTGTTCACACTGCTGCGTTGCGGTGGTGTGCGTTGAAAAAAAAGTACTGTACGCTGTTTTTTTTTCCAGTGCAGTGTGATGCATCACATTGGATCGTGTTGTGGCTGTAAAACTGAATGAAATGTAATTTTTGTGACATTGTAATAAAGTTCTAAAAAAAAGTAAAGTGTGATGCATCTGCACTGATAGGCTGGGTTCACACCTGAGAGGTTTTTTCTGCTCGTTTTTGAGTTAGTTTTTTTCGTTCAGTGAACGCGCGTTTCACTGGTGGTATGATTTCTTTTTTTGGTTTTTTCCCTTTATTTTCTCTATGTAAAAAAAAATATATATATTTTTTAGTTTCACTTTTAAACTTCTCGCCGGCTCCGCCCCCCTGCGACTCGGACGCTCGCAAGGGACGGAACCCGGAAGTCGGCAGCCGCCGAAGACACAGCGGGGATCGCGGACAAGGTAAGACCTGTACGCTTTATTCCTGAGTGTGGCTCAGGGTTACCGCTTTGTTAACCCCGATCCACACTCGGGAATACCAATGGTAACACGCGGCGAAACGCCCCAAAGAAGCTCCTGTTCTTCTTTGGGCGTAGGGCGTTTTGCAGCGCGTTCCTACGCGCTGTAAAACGCCCAGGTGGGTACCATGCCCATAGGCAATCATTGGTTTTCACATGTTGAGCGTTTTACAACGTGTAAGAACGTAGAAAATGCCCAGGTGTGAACCAGGCATTACTGTTTCTCTCACTGCTCGCCAACGGCCATGCGTTTAGTGAGGCTTGCTGATGCAAATCAACCTTAGCCACTTTAGTACCAGCATGTTATACGCCCTTCAGGCTATTTTTCAGCGCTGTGCAAGTTTGGCTGTGAATTCCTCCATCATACAATACTGTAACAAAATTAATTTTATATAATTTCTTGGGGCAAATGGAGCTTTATTTTAGTGGTATTTAATTACTTTTTCTTTTACTATATAAAGTAAAAAAAAGCTTGAAAAAAAAAAGCTTGTTTCTCTCTTCTCTTTTGTTTATACGTCATAGCAAATAAAAATATCAGCACAGGCATTTTTTTTAAAATGAAGAAACATGCCGATGTTGAGTGGGTTAAAACATGGCGCTTGGTGATAGTGCACAAGATATAATCAATGTACGGGTTATAGACAGAGGAGGCAAATTTTAAGGCTGCCTTTGCAGGACTCTTTAAAATTTTAGTTGCCTGGATGCCATGCTGATCCTCTGATTTTGATAATTCCTGAGTCAGAATGTCAGATCAAGTACACAGCGTTTTTTAAAGAGGATGGGCCGCAGACAGTCCCTTTATATCTTTTTTTCATTGCAAGTTTCTTTAAATGACATATCTATTGATCCAAGGAAATTATGAGATATTCTCATCCACAGAATCTTTTGTAGCAGACCACTATAAACCGCTAATGATTCCTTGCTTAGTATATAGATTTGTTCTTGGGTTAAGATGTTTTGTTTGTTGCTGTTACTAATGTAGGTTGTGTAACACAGAAATAAAATATTCTCTGGGGTGTTGCCTAGTTACCCATAGGATTCTTTCAGCTAGGTTTCGTAAATAACATGTATAAATCTGATTCCCAGCTCCCATCTAGAACAAGAGCCGATTTCCTGCAGTGCATAAGCTCTTTTATTCAAAATGTCATAATCCTAATATAGTTATACATGGTATTATCATAAAAGCATTTAAAGAAGAACTATGAGGTGAATGATTTACACTCACCCTCATAGTGTGAGCCGACGCGTGACAAGGAAACTGTCACACGTCGGCTCTATAGATCGAGAAGTGAGTGAGAACGCATACCGTCGCTCGCTCACTTTCCAATCATCTCCCTGCAGAGAGCGGTGACTGTCAATCACCGCTCCCTGCTGGGGTTCCCCCAACTCCCGCTCCAAGCCTCCAGTGTTGACTGGAGAAGCAGCATTGTCGGGATCCGTCCCGGCTGCGGTAATCTCAGTATATAATGAGCAATAGCTCGCTATATACTGAGCTTTGGGTCACGTGAGGATGCTAGTATATGTCCTCCGTGACCCTTAAGAGAACTATGGGATAAAAAGGTTACCCAATAGTTCTCTTTTAACTAGTGAGTGGAATCATGGCTACAGGGGTATTGTACTATGGGTGAGTACGGAGGGGAGGCTGTTCTAATATTGTTCTCTATACAGGATGTACACTGTGCCTTATGGTTTTGAAAGGGTGTGAACAAGCTCATGGCTGCAGCAGGCCAAAGGTAATTTACTAAAAGGGATCTGGCTGGCTGTACAGTCGACTAATTACTTTTACAGGAATCTCAGGGCTCCCATCGCTCACTCCATGTTTTCCTCTCGTATGGTTAGGACCATAACAAGCAGTGTCAGAATAGTGAGCTGGAGTGCATTGAGGAACATTCGTTACCTGATGTCCTCTGCAGAGTGTGAACCAGGAACATCCCTCACCTCTTAGCACTTCTGGGGTTCAGAGCTGTCAAAATCTGATTTTGCAGAACAGTCTGTGCTCCATTGGCTAGATCAGAGGGCAGGGGAGATATTAGGGATCTAATAGAACCCTGATGTCTCCATAAAGAGTTCCTGTCATCTGTGCTATCACATAGAGCGTTGTTAGTGCATTGCAGTAGCAATAAACCTATGTGAAAAAAATTAAAAAGTGCTTAAAAAATGTAAATATAATTTAAAAATGTGTTAAGCACCCCCATTGCCTTGGCTGTGCACACATACACGCATAGGGTGCATATTGCCGTGCTTCCTGTTATGAGAGAAATTATATTAAAGGAGAACTATGAGGTGAGTGATTTTCACTCAACCTCATAGTTCGACCCGACGTGTGACAATGAAACTGTCACACGTCGGCTCAATAGATCGGGAAGTGAGCGAACACATACCGTCGCTTGCTCACTCGATCATCTCCCTGCAGAGAGCCGTGACTGTCACTCACGGCTTCCTGCTGGGATTTCCCTCCTCCCCGCTCTGGTCCTCCAGCACTGACTGGCGGAACGGACGGGGAGGGGGTGGCTACAGCTGGCTCTGCCTCTAGATAGGCAGAGCCAGCTGTCAATCACGCAGCTGGGTGGATCTCGACAGTAATGTCAGGATCCGTCCCGGCTGCGGCGGTCTCAGTACACTGAGCTTTGGGTCACAGGAGGAAGCTACTTTGTGTCCTCCCGTAATCCTTAGGAGAACTAAGGGGAAAAACACTTACCCCATAATTCTTCTTTAAATACCTTGTTCACTGTTAACTGATGAGCTGTAAAAGCATTTAATGCATCACTTATTGACAATTTTGGATGCTATAATTTTTTGCTGTTTTGCAGCTGCACAGTTTTGGGGGTTGACATGTTTGCTATCTATTTACTCAGCACAGCTTTATCTTTTATTTTTGAGAAAAAAAAAAGAAATTGGGAACGATATTGTGTTTGTGAGCACTAAAATTAATTTTAGTGTATTTTCTTTTACTGAAAATACAGATTTCATAAACAGTTGTGCAAATACAACTTCATTAACATACCATGCTGAGGCCATGAATGTAATCCTTTAACCCTTTGTTAGGACAGACAGTGTTCAACTCTACTTTACAAATTATAATTGAGCAAGCACAGCACAGACAGGGTTAAAAAAAAACTCACAGCCCCTCCTAACATTGCAATTAGACCTTTTAACCCTTAAGAAGCCAAGAAACCCTAACCCAATTAAAAGTAATTAAAACTGCAAGAGACATTTTTTAAACAAGGACTCCAGGATTTATTTTTTAAATTAACCCTTGCAGTGGGGCTACCCCGGTAGTGCAAGGGTTAAGTGCTCGTTTGTGTCTCATAGAAAATAACAAAGTTATACTCACCCGAAGCTCCGAGCTGGCCAGCTGTCACAGCGCTCCCTCCAGCCTGTCCCCTCCTCCTCCGCAGCATCGGAATTTTCTTAGCGTCCTCACATCCATACACTGTGTATAGACGTGATGATTTATGGGACCTTACACCGCTGCAGAGGAGGGGGAGAGATGTTGGAAGGACGGGTATAAGAAGGCGGCAAGTATAACTTTTTTTTAACCTAGACAGGCTACCTGTCTAGGTTACCCCCACACTGCAAGGGTTAAGTGCTTGTTTGTGTCTAGGTTAATAAAAAAACTATTTCCTGGAGTTCTTCTTTAAATATTTTTTTAGCTTACGCAATGTGAATGGGAACATGTAACAAATATAAAGTAGATGCTATCCCGATTTGGCAATAAAAGTAGAAATATATTTTAAGTTTACTCTTTTTCTTTCTATTGTTTTCACAATGTTGTATTTACTCAATTGGCATCTACAATTTTGTGGGAGCAGCACTTCTTTTTATACAGTTTTAATAGAAGTATTCTTGATTCCTCCCCATCTCGTACATTAAATAAAGACTGCAAGAGTAGAATAAATGTAAGAGTTGTGTAATGCAGACTTGACCTGATTTGTATTTAAATCTTCAAAGTAGGACACATGACAGAGATATCTCTGCAGACAGCTAGAATATATTTGTTCGCAGCAGATGGCATGGAATTAATTAATCTCCATGCAGATAGAAAAGCACCATTTAATCCAGTTTTGCATTCATTAAAAAATATGTTTTTGCGCAGAGCACAGAACCAGCATTAGGATTTAAATGTTGTTATCAGCCTCCTGTTTTCCCCTGTGCAGCAGATCTCAGACTGGTAGAGAGAGGAACCCCCTTTTCCCTACTAGAGCTCCAATGTAGTGCAGAGTGTTAGACTGCATTGAGAGTAAAGGCCCATTGGGAATGCAAAGCTAGTGTTTTCAAAATGTGCCAAATCATTGTGCAGACTGCTGTGTGTTGTCGAGGTGTGGTGGGGTACCATTCAAAATGCTTGACACTGCAGCACACCATTGCATTTAATGTGCATTGCTGTGCGTTACCGAAATGTGGTTGTGTGAATGGGTCCTTAGCTGAGCATTATTCACTTCCTTAAGGTGGCCATACACCTTACAACCATCGCAAAATTTAGCTTTCCTCTTCATATTACCATGGAAATGCCTCTGTGGTTTGCAAGCTCTGTTTGAGCTCTCCCATTCATTAGTATTCATAGTGACACTCTCCCCTCCTCCCCCCCACAGGGTATTGTGTGCAAAGGCAGAGCTGATGTTTACTGAACATGTTACAATGAATACCAGAGAGGGGGGCAGCTGTTTTACAGCCCAATTACCATCCGACCCTGGTGTGTGACTGATTTTCCTGTAGAGCAAATTTTTAATTTTGAACCTTCATATCACAGCAAATATTGATTTGATTTGGATTTCTCTTCTGTTCATTTACTTTCCATTTTGTTAAATAATTAAAATAAACTATTTACACTTTTATTTCTGAAAGCATTCTTGCTTTACAGCACTGTTTTACACCCACCTAAAACTTTTGCACAGTACTGTATGTAATTGTGTGTTTTATATATGTGTGTATGTGTTTATATTATAGTGATTTTACTGTCCTCTGATTACCCACTTTAGGCCCTGAGCCTTTTTTCACTGTAGCCCATTAGAGTTTAAAAGGATGTCACATAAGTGCAGTTTTGTAAAGCAGCAGAATGGTAGCACCCAATATTTGTGTATTAATTTAGGCGAGTTTGACCTCTTTTGACGCTACATTGCTGTACACTGAACACCGGGAGTTGCTTGATCAGGTACCTCTGCAAAAATCTTTATTTTATTTTTTAACTCACTACAAGGCATACTATGAATGGGCAAGGGGGTGACCATTGTGTCGTGTGCCCCTCCTTTCCACCTTGACTAACCAGAGAACGGCTTTTATTCACTAAAAAAAAATACAAGACCTTTTCTGAATGGCGGAGATACGGGAGCGAGCGACTCCCTGTGTTTAATGTACAGATGGACCGCACTGACTGTATACAGAGCAGGCTACTACAGTGGATTTCAGCATTCCCTCTCCCTGCAGCTTCAGAGCGGCCAGGAGGAGAGAGAGGGAGCGCTGTCAGGTGTGATCAGAGCCGCCTCTCTGAGCAGTGTGAGCGTGTGGGGATATACGTGCATGCAGAGCCAAATTTGCCAGGGAGCAGAGGTTCGGCAGGGAAGTTCCCGTCCCCGCAAATCCTCTACGGATGGAGTAGACAGTGAGGGGAGAGCTGCAGCCCTTCCTCTCAGCTGTCACAAGAGTTCTAGCTCTAGTTAGACACATGCAACACGAGCAGCAACCTAGTTGCGTCTAATGGAGCGAAAAATACGGTATGTATAAACCAATGTTCAGCTTTAACATGTCGATTATTAATTATTTCATTTTACATGATAATGTCAGTTTCATATTCGTACAGCACCTATATACAAATGTATGAGACTATTCCCCAGAGCTGCCAGACAAAGGCTTAACATCACCAGTAATCACTAATAATGCAAACTATGTTTATTTTTAGGACGTTTTATGATACAAAGTGTTTCTGAACGAGCTCCATTTATGCTACCCGGACCAATATCAGATGGGCAGTTCTATTCACCCCCAGAATCTCTTGCAGGTATGTATGCATCTGTGGGTTTACACATTTCACCAAACCTGGTACAACATTGTCGAAAATGTGGAGATTTATAATCTGTTACTGAAACCCGGTCATGTTTTTACTGTTCATAGTGCACTTTTTTGGGGGCAAAGTACATGTTTAACAGTCAGAATCTATATAGGGTTTGAAATGTATTAGTAGAAAACAGATGGTTTCCCTGAGATCTCACGTTCACATGGTCTAGCACAGAATTAGGATATGTGTGCAAAAAGAGGGGACTTTGTTTTTCACTGCAACCATCATCTGCCCAGCCTAGATGAAGTGTCCCAGGAAACCTGTAAAAGAGAAATATATATACATATATAGGGGCTGCCATTGTTGACTTTTGTAAAGGTGTAAGCTCCAGGAATGTCACTTTTTGTGATCACTAGACTGGAAAAAAACAAGCGGTCAGTGATGTTTTAAAAGTCTGAATTCCCACGCTGTGTACTTGTTCCTGGTCAGATGCTTGCTAGGTAATGAAGCCGGGATCTGATTGACAATTCCTGAGCCTAAAATGCTGCCCGGCATCCTGATTGGCGGGGAAGTCGGCTCCATGCTCTCTCGTCACAGGATACTTCCCATATCAGGAAGCCGGGCAGCGCGTCATTACACGCTGCCCGGCATGCTTCCCCGCCAATCAGGAAGCTGGGCAGCGTGTAATGACGCGCTGCCCGGCTTCCTGATACAGGAAGTATCGGGCTAGGCATCGGAGAACTCCAGGTAACATTTTTCTTAACTCTTGCAGTGGGGTTACCCCAGCACTGCAAGGGTTAAGTTCTCACTTTTGGCTAGGTTCAAAAATAACAAAGTTATACTGACCTGATCCTCTGAGCCGACTCTTAGACTGGTCCCTGGAGCCTTGCTTCCCCTCTGCCGCAGTGAGCTAAGGTCCAATGAGTCATCCCGGTCTATACCAACTGTATAGCACGTGAGGACTTCGAGGGAAATACCATTGCTGCATTGTAGGAAGAGACAGGCTGGAGACTCTGAGGATAGGGTTAGTATAACTTTGTTATTTTTGAATTTGAGCACTTAACCCTTGCAGTGGTGGGGGCTGTAGGGGTAGCTTCACTGCAATGGTTAAGAACATTTATATACAGAGTTCTTTTTTTTTTTTTGTCATTAATTGTTTTAGTTTATAAACAATGCTGATTGGACTTAAAATATGAACAAGATATACTCCTATGTGATGCATATAGTTCAGGAAATGTAGTTAATCTTTTTAATTCCCGACTAATTGCATTGATATGAATGCACGACAATGTTGGCAAACTGCAAGCCAATCACATATTAGAGGTTCTAGAAGAATGCAGATATTCTGCTTTGTGATTTATATTTTTCAACATGTTCTGTATTTTGAGAAAATGGCTCCCTCTTGTGGCTGGTTTGCAGTATTACATGTCAGCAGATACTTTTATTTATTTATCAAGCATTTCTTATTGGTAAAATTAGTCTAAATACATCTGCCATTTCCAGCTGCAATTTTTTTTAATCCTTACTGTGAGGACATGCCATTTCTGTATATCTGATTGTTTGGGTTGACAAAATGTCCATTGCTTTCAACTTTGCCTAATTTAACAGATTCTGATGAAGAAGCTGATGAGAAACAAGACAGCGAAAAGCTTCTGGTGTCAAAATAGCAAGGTAAACCATTTTTAATCTTTGTAGAAGGATAATGTGTGATAAATCGTCAGCTCCAGCTTTGATCTTTTATTAGGGAAGATGACATGGCATATTAAATTGAACGAACCTGCATCCCAAAGCAAATTTCGCAGGCACTTTAGCTTGAATCACCACCACAACAAAATGAAAGCACTTAAATAGGTACTTATACAGTAGCTCTCTCTCTCTCATCGATTTCTGGATACAGTGTGTGTCTTTTTGCTCTATCAAGAAACCTGGACACTGAAAGGGTGGGGGTGAGCCAGATATTTAACATGGAGCTTAGAACTGCTGTTAAATGCTCAGTTTGCTATGTTAGTGGTCTCCTGGGGCTTCAGGAATACAATATTTGCAGACACTTATTTTACTTACTATGCTGTACAAGAGCCAACCTAACTGGATACAGATTGATTGGATAGATTAGGTTAGTCCTCATATTACATAGATTTGGTAGATCTAAAGTTGATTGTACAGAGATTGTATGGTCAGATTGTAATGTGTCTATGGTGATTCTCATGTTAGAGGTCATCTCACTTGTTTTCAATAGCAAAATCTGACAGCTACCCTCCAAGCCAGAACCTTCATCCACCCCATAAACATTTCTGAAGTTTTGTCCTCTTTGCTGACTCCAACAATAAATGTCATACATAAGTGTCACCATCATCACCTCCCGATGAAACATCCCATTAGAGCCCCATGGCAGGATCTCTCCTCTGATTGGGGCTCAGTCTATCCTGCTGTGCTGCAGCCTGGTACAGAATGGGTTCCTTTGATCTACTCATTAATATTTTTCCCAGCTCCCCTCCCCACCTCTCCAGTTCATGAGCTGGAATCTCATGCCGCTTTCCCCATGCTGTCCGGCATTTTAAAATCCAATCAATGGACAATCCTGTTGAATGAGCAGCCCACTCCTCCACCGAGGGGCCACAGAGTATCTGATTCAGATTAAGTGTTTATGGAAATCTGCAGGATGGTGCGGCAGATGTCACCCAGTGTGGTGCAGTGCAGGAAGGATCACTCCATCAGGTAGATTGCCCATCACGGTGGAGCAGAGATCACTTTCCCTCCGTATCCCTATGAGTAGAGGAGGAATCCCAGCCCTGCTCCTGATGCCACTACCACTTCAGTGCAGGCTGGAGCTAAGCGCAGGACCTAATGCAGCCGGAAAAAAATAAAATACCGTTATCGGTTTTTGGTATTGGGGTATTTTCATGAATACGAGTATCTGGCATTGGTGCATCCCTACTCTTAAACTTTGTGTTAAAGGTGAGGTATTTAACTGCGTGCCCAAGGTCCGGTAAGTCTCCCTCTCCCAGGGAGAAATCTAAGTGGGCACACTGTACAAGCAGTGGAGGGGAAGAAGGCATCTGGAAAATCCGCAGGCCCACCAGAGTGGTTAAAGAAGGTACCAGTGTCCTTTTATGGGACCAAAGAGGTCATCCAATCTGTGCTTCGGATTCCTCTCATGCTCCTGCTACCCATAGTGCGTGGAAAGTAAGGTTTGGTACTCAGTATGGCAGGTAGTTCTTGCCTTGGTTCAGGAGCTCCTTCAAGCATGTTCGTTCCTGGCCCTCCCTTCCTGACAGGGGTTTTAACCATTTCCTACTCCACCCAAAATGAAAGAGAAATTTTGGCTTCAGATATACGTTAAAGTTGTCAACAAAGCTGCTTGAAGTTTGCGTAAAGTTTTGCAAATGCTCAGTGAAAGCTTTCATTCTGCTCTTATACAACTGAAGGCTTTTGTTAGGCTTCCTCAGAAAAAAGGAATAAAGTGATGAAGCCCATACCAGACAAACAATATTCAAACCAGTTGAAGACACATTTTGCTCTTTTATTGGGTTAGCTCAGGAATATGAACACATGTATTTTCTTATATTGTTGAGCTATGTAAACAATTGGCTTTTTGTGTTATGTAAGATTTTTTATAAACTAAATTATTTTTCTTTTCTCTCAGAAATATGTTTTTATTGCATGAAATCTAATCGATAAGAGGCAACAGTGATGAATCCTCAGCAGATCATCTACCGGAGCGCTATTTGCAGATGATAAACCCAGATTCAGCTACGTACACATCACAGATGCTGCTGTTCTGAAAGCCAGAATGGCTGGTAAGCTGGCTGCCTTCATAATTGAAGTGGCCATGGGCTATAAGTGGTCATCTTCATCAAAGACAAATTCGCTGCATATTTTGACTTTTGGCACTGCAGGGACTTTTGCCACTTTGTGCTGTCACTCGTGTCCTGGATTAAATGGTTTACTGGAAATGAAGATTGAATTTTCTGCTGGTATTTACTGTCTGATATTCCTGTGCCTTTGTGTTTATTATAATGCTGCCTCTGTGCAGCCCTAAAAACCGATTGTTTTGTGACAGAACTATAACATTGTGATTTTTTTTTATACTACTTAGTATACATGTTTACTGCCTGTGAAGCTCAGTTGAGTGTGGCATAATGTGAATATTTGGTAGCTATAGTGTGTGCTGCGCTTGGCCGTTATTATTATCAAATGTGATTTACAGAATTGTAAAGCTGATGCAGTGACCACAAGGGCTTTTCCACTAGCCAAGGTTAAAGATTGAGATTGCTTCAGAATTCCCCTCAATAATCCTCCAGTTACCTAGCTGCTGCATTTATGATGTACTACTTTGTGTGCTCCTCAAAGCTACGTAAAATCTTTTAAGCTCATTTGATGTTTCATAACCATTTTTAATTTATTGCATGCAGACCAAAAACACACTACTATGGATTGTTGAAACAAGGATTACTCTGACTTCTGTTCCTGCCTTAGTCTGACCATAAACTACTGAGTTTCTGTTAGTAATAGTAAGAATTAAGCAGGTTAGGGAGCACAGAAAACACTGGAAACACTGAGGTGTACACATTCAGTTGAGCTAGGGGGTCAAGGTGATTGTAGTATCTCACCCTCAATCACCTTTTAAATAACTCATCATTGCCTGTATGGTAAGCATTATATATTTATCAGGGATTAAGTGCAGTTGCACTGCCAACACTTTAATAAAGTTAAAGCTGTACTGGTCATTGCTATACCATTTTCAACATGTGAGATAGCTGTGCAGATCAGTGATTTGATGAATTTCCAGTAGCTGTCTATAGACAACTGAAAAGCTTTAAGTGACAATTATACATCAAGGCAGCATATCCAAACATGAGGCCCATTTAATGCTATACAGCCTTGGTTCTCAACTAGTGGGTCGTGACCCAAAAGTGGGTTGTGACCCCATGTTTAGTGGGTCGCGACACCTCCCCCTAGTGCAGCACCGTTGGTTCTTGTACCGAGCAGCCATTCAAAATATGGCCCTGCGTGTCAGCTTAAGGTGGAATTATGGGTATCAGGGAGCTCCAGCCATACGTGCATTGCTTACAGCTCCCACATGTGCCCTGTCGAGGTGCCTGGACTGGACTGACATCACATACTGGCTCCTGGCATCTCAACAAAGCAAGCAAAGGAGCTGTACAAACAATGCACATATGGATGGACACCAGGCTGAGGTTACTTTCCAGGTCTCATAAGGTAGGAAGACTGGGTGGATCTTAAAAAAAAAAAAAAAATTCAAATTTTTTTTGGAGTGTGTATGTGTGTGTGAGAATATGTCTGTGGATGTGTGTCTCAGTGTCTTTTGACGGTCTGTTCACACTATTCGCTATTTGCATTTAAGGCTGCTGGCTGTCAATGGCGGGTGTGAGGAGGAATGTGGCCCTGTTAGATCACTGACAACCTGTCAGTGATCTGTGCAGCGGCACGTTCCTCCTCATAGCCGCTGCTGAGTCAGCAGTTGCGGAGGAGAAGGCTGGGCCCGGCATCGGCAGAGCAGGAGGCGGGGCCCGGTGACAGAAGAGGAGGCGGGGCCCGGCGACGGAAGAGCAGGCAGGTAAGAGGTGTGCAGGGGTGTGACCATCCCACCTGAGACCCTGCAGAGCCCACCATAGAAAATCTATGGTGGGCTCTGCAGGGTCACACTTAGGTTAGCTGTGGTGGATATCAGGTGGGCTCTGCAAGGGGCCTAACTACAAATCACAGGGCCCCATACAAAATTTTGCTATCGGGCCGTGTGATTTCTAGATACGCCCCTGCTTTGGATCACAAATGCAGGGCTGTAATAGAAAGCTTGTATGCTGCCAAACTGTAACTATAAGTGTGCACTTTTTCATAAAAGAAGTCTTCTTCTAAGTATCCAGCCTGTACAGCACTGTCTAGTGAAGCTAACACAAGAAGAGGACATTGTAGCCTGACAGACCACACCACCTCCTGTTTCTCTTAGCGTTTGCTGCCCATCATCTTTGTCAGTATAAGGAACATCAGAGGATGTAAGCACTGCTCTGGCCCACATGGGCAAGGCAGTTGGAAAAAGACTTTCTTTTTTTCTAAAGCATGCTTATTTATTTTTATGCCTGAACAACATATGAGATGTCTACATGATACAGTTACCCTTTCATAAGTCAATTTACCCAAAACTTATATATTAGTAATGGGTTAACATTATTGGGTTAAAAAAGAACTCTGGGCAGCAGAAATCTTAACCTGGACCTTAGGCCACTGGAGTGGAAGGGGAGAGAGGCTGCTAATACCGGTTTAACAGCCAGCCACTCTGAATAACTAAGGATTTGAGTACAAATTTGGCAAATACTGTTTAACTGTACTATCCTTTTTACACTTTCTGAAATGTAAACTGTAATAGCTGCAGCAAAAGACCAGAACTAGGGACTGCAGAGATGTCATCAGAGATAAAAACACAACTGATAATTCAACCTGGTGAAGCAAACATTTTAGGTAGATTAATATTTACAATATAATCCGCGCTACTCCCTAATTTGACTCCCTACCACTCTCCCAGCAAGCAGTGATAAAATTCAACCATCAAATAAATAAAACGAGTACACCGCGCTTCTCCCTACCAATGAGATTCAATAAATTTCTTCTAAACTGAATATAATATTCATACAATGTGAAATACATAAATAATTCATATAAACAGCATTGCTCTATACACATAAAAAGCGATTACACTTAATTGTAATCCTCAAAGTGCATGAGCATAGCTGATTCCAATATAATAAAGTGCCAACCAGTGTCCATTAAACAATATGCAGTGAACACATGAAAAAGGCCACTTCCAGTGAATAGATTACATAGTGCTCTTCATGCGCAAATACATGTCCACCCGTGTCCAATCTTCACACTGCCTCACTCACCAGATGTTGATGGTGATCTATTTAAAGATTGACCATAAGCACTTTCTTTATATCAGCCACCCACACCACACTTTTCCTCGTCAGTCTCTGTCTGGTGGGGGCGGCTGATATAAAAAAGCGCTTATGGTTTATCTGATGAGTGAGGCAGTGTGAAGACTGGACACGGGTGGGCATGTATTTCCACAAGAAGTGCACTATGTAATCTATTCACTGGAAGTTTACTTTTTCATGTGTTCATTGCATATTGTTTAATGGACCCAGGTTGGCACTTTATTATATTGGAATAAGCTATGCACATGGACTTTGAGGATTACAATTAAGTGTATAGCGTTCAATTTGTATGTGTGTAGAGCAACACTGTTTATAGGAATTATTTATTTCACATTGTATGAATATTATATTTAGTTTAGTAGATATTTATTGAATCACATTTATAGGGAGAAGCGCGGTGTACTAGCTTTATGTATTTAAGGCAGATTGACTATTTAAATGAACAATTACATCTCTTGCATATATCAAAGCTGTTTATTTCGGCAAATATGTGTTGTAAAGCATATACATTAAGTCAAGCCATTTTCTATAGTTTGTAAAACGCAGTGCAATCAAATGTACAGAATGTACTAAGTACATGTACTAAGAAAAGATGTCCTTGAGTTGGAAAAAGTCCAGCGAAGGGCAACCAAACTAATTAGGGGTATGGAGGACCAGAGCTACGAGACGAGGCTACTAAATTTAAACATGTTCACATTAGAGGTGAGGAGATTAAGGGGGGATATGATTTCCATGTACAAAATGTTTAATGGTGGTAGCAACATTAGCGATAAACTGTTTAAAATTAACTCCGTTACAAAAACTAGAGGCCATCACCTAAAATTGATGGAAAAAAAATTCCAGCACAAGGGGCGAAGGGGGTTCTTCACAGTAAGATCAGTTAGGGTCTGGAACTCACTGCCACTGGCGGTGATTTCAGCAAATAATGTGGAATTGTTCAAGAAACTTTTGGACGATTTCTTAAGGGACCGTAATATACAGGGGTACGGGTACTCCTAGAATGAGATCCTAATAGGTTGGACTTGATGGACTAATGTCTTTATTCAACCTCAAATACTATGTAACTATGTAACTATGAATGTGTACGGCTTGCTGTATCTCCCTTTGTACATTTATGTTTGTGTTCCAGGATCCATCTATAGTCGAGGGGCCTGCCTGCGCAGCCTACGTCCCCTCCCGCCCCTGAATGCAGGTGTTTTTTCGTTGGTAGATCTCAGTGAGCTCGTCATTTGAAAAGACGAAAAATAGTGGGCGCCCCTGGCCTACAGTATACAACAAACTTATGGTTTTGAAAGTTCCTATTACTACTCTGATAATGTAGATCTTAAATGCAACACATAGAAACTAGTTCCTATTTAAGATGTATATTTATTCTTTAATGTCTTAATTCTGTACTGTATATACAGTTACATATATATTTTAGAAATCAGAGAAAATATTTAGCCAAGCGATAGATGTGCTTCTAATTTAATATAAAGGTCTATAAAGAATGTGTCTGTGTGATATATACTAATCCACCCTGCAGATGTTTTACCTTAGGGGCTGGACTTAAAAAAGCTGGGGCTGCCCACTCCTAATGAATATCTGCAGTTTGACAGCCAATATATTTAGACATGGTGATACTTGCTTGATAATGATGTGATGAGGTTGGCCATAGATGAAATGTTATCCCATTATGTGTAAGAAAATGTTTTCAGAGGTATAAATGCTTTATATTGTATCTCACATACAGTTTCTCCAAGGTGGGGGTCATGTTTGCAAAATAGACCCTCTATGTTTAATTTGCACATTTATTAACAATAACACCAAAATTCAGCAGTTCTAGCAGT